CATCTCTCCACAGAGGGTTAGATTTGCAGGGTTCCAACAAGCGTGGAAGACTTGAGTCCTTGTCTTCAGAGAGCTTATGGTCTTGAGGAACTGAGTTGTTGTTTTTAAAGTCCAAGGTGGGGCTGGCTTGGAACTTAAGTAACTGAAGGAAGTTATAAGATACTGTGGTTATCTAGTGAACGGTAAGGATAATAGGTGCCCCAAGGCTTGCTTGGGTAGGTGCTTCCCCAGCGATGGTGTATGAGCAGGTACTAGATTAGATGAGCCAGAATCCAATCCTGGATCCACTCCAGTCTTCCTGTAGGGTCCCAGAAACACACTTAGCTTTCTGGGAACTTCAGGGGCCTCATCTTCAAGACATGACAGTAATAGGATTGAACTTGCAGGTTATTTTGAGCCTAAGTCAAGCAGAGTGTTTGCAGAGCCGGGTGTGTAGTGAGTGCTAAGTAAATGTTAACCACTAATAGCGTCATCATCAGTGTTGTTGCTACATAAAGACTTGGGAGCTGACCTGAGTCTCCAGGAACAGGGTCATGTGAACAAGCCAAGAACAAATGTGGGACCCCGTGCAGGTGTGTCCTTCAAGCTGTGGATAGAGTTCCAAGTTACCAGAACTGGGAGGTCCTTGGAGATCTGCTTTCTTATAACTAGGTTGGGGTAACTGTTCTCCAGGATTTACCATTAGGGGAAAGTGAGTGTGTCTCTAAGAGACATTTTACAAAAAATGTTGCCCTGTTGGATTCCATACTCTGCTATGAGACTATGCTTTTCATCTTTCACCTACTAAAGTGAATTTTAGTATCTTCTTTGGACTCTCCTTGGTTACCAGGATTTCTTTGTACATATGACCCCCTATAAACATTTTTACCTATTTGTGCAACTGCTTTGGCCCCTCCTTGGGTTTGAAGGCTTGGTATTGCTCTTCAATCATTCTCAAATATACTTCCTGCCTCATGAATCACAGAACAAGCTCCCAGAGGTCACGGGAGGTCTCCACATTCTCTGCATTTCCTACAACTTTTAATATGATTCAGGGTATGGGGAAAGCACTCAGTGTAGTTGTTGGTTTGATTTTTTTTTTTTATTCCATATGTTGAGTAAGATTTGACTAGGAATATGTCAGACATGTTCTTCCCAAAGTAAAAAAATACATACTGGCCTGTTGAGGTATAACAGTGAAATGGGAAGTCAGATTTAACACATTCACGTTCTTGCCCCAAATGATACCAAACATTTCCATAGTCCCAGAAAGCTGACCCTGTCACCTCCTTTAGTCACCAAGCCACCACTGATGGGATTTCTATTCCCATAGGTTAGTTTTGCCTATTCTAGAATTTCCTGCGAATGAATCCTATGAAGCATATAGTATGTACTTTTTTGTGTCTGTATTCTTTTCACTAAGACAATACTCTTGCTAATCCCCTGTGTTGTTGCATGTATCAGTACTGTTTTTTATATTGGGGAGTAGTATTCCATTGTTTGAATATACCACAGGTAGTACACTCTCCTGTGGATAGATCTCTAGGATGTTCCATTGACTATGGCTATCAGTACGGTGCTAACCCTCCATGTGCTTTTTGTGAACCTATTTTTATCTCTGTTAAGTGTCGAGGTGTAGAACTTACTGGGCCATATTTATTAATGTAAATATATGGATGAATATATGGTCTCGGTAGCTTGATCTTTTACACGTAGATTGGTTCACTGCCTAACAAGTGCAGGAAAGATAGAGGGAAGTAAAGTTTGCTGAATGGATACAAATATCAATACCTTTAACATTCCTAATAGCTTGAGAGGTAGATACCAGTACCTTCATTTCCAGGTGAGAGACCAAGGCTCAGGAGGTTAAGTTACTCGCCCAAATTGTATTACACATGCCCATTATGGTTTTAAGTCTGTTGAACTCCGAAGTGTGTGTTCTAGCTCTGCTCTGACACCAGCTGGGCAGTGGGGTCAGCCTGGCTGTGTCATCATGCTGGGCTGAACAAAAAAGTTTTCAGAGCTGAACACCTTGTTGTGGGACTGCAGGCTGGCTATTGTCAGGATGAATGCTGCTGAAGATACGTTTTGTTTGTCAAGATCAGAGTTTCAGATGCTGGTGGAGGAGACACCTGTGTGTGCCTCTGTTGTCTTCATGGGGCCTCCCCGTTCTGATGTCTCACACTTCCCGTGAGCTCCTGGCCACCAACATAGTTCACACCCTAAAATTCCATTCTAACCCCTATTTGAAATATAGGGAGACCCAACACCAAGAGGAAATTTGAAAGAAATAAGCAAACAAAAAGATTGCCCGACCTTGTCTCCGGCCTCACTGTTGCTGCCTGTTGGCTTCTGAAGTTCACAGCCCATGTGGCCTTCCAGTGCCTTCCTGGAGGCATGCATCCCTGTCAGAGGGGGTTGTTTTTGCCCCTGCATGCCCTTCTCACTTTGTACTCCTTGTAGCCAACATCTCCCCATTTTCTGTGCATTTGCCATCCTATATCTGCATTAAATTGTGAGCTCTTGACAATTGATTTCATTTGTATTCACCGCATCTCTCACAGCACCTAGCACATAGCCTGCATGACCACACTCTGGAGACACTAATTTATAGATTATGCTACTGGTTCTGTATCAAGGTGAGGGTGTTTTGTTTGGGTGATTTGGTTTGGTATATCTTCCCTCGGCTTACTGTAGAAAGCTGAATTAGTCTCCATATGTTGCCTGAAGACTCCACTGAATAGGAGTGTTCCCGAGAGGGTAGAACAAGAAGACAGACCATTTTCTGGGCCTTGAGTGGACTAAGTCAAGCTTGTGTCAAGAGGGTCAGGGATGCTCACCCTGTTCTGGGCAGCATTTGGGGAGGTCAGGGAGATGGCTGTGTGGTGTACTTCCAGAAGCAGGGGGGTTCCCATGCTGGCCCATCACCCCGCTGCCCACCCAGCACTGCCTGTGACCAGTGGCTGCCCAGGCTCTGCTAGCAGAGACCCCAGCTTTGGGGAGGAACTGCAATGAGCCTAAATGTTCCCAAATCATCGCATGTTATCAGAATTGGGTTATTTTAAAGCCGAGAAATTTGATGTTTCCCCTCACCTGAATAGATAAACTTGTTGGATAAACTGAATGCCTGTGCAATCTTGGGGAAGTAGGCACCTCCTCCCAGGATGCTATTTCCCCATATTGAGCCTCGGCCTCCTAGGTGACTCTTCCATGATCCCCAGCTACACCTCAGCTTCATAGAAGCAATCTTCCTTGCCCTTCTCCTGTTTTCTTCTCCACCGGTGGGCTTTCCAGAGACGGTGCACATGCTCATCTTTTGCGAGCACAGAGTACAGTGATGGGCGTGAAGTGTGCTGTCAGAGATCTCTGTGGACCAGAATGAATCAGAACTACTTTGTGGGCTCTCCTGCTGTTTCCATGTGGGGAGTCCACCGTTTACTCTGGATTCCAGTTACTTTGCCTCCTGTCAACCCACCAGTGGAATTCCTTCATAAGAAGCTAAGTGGATGTTGGCAAATTAGGCTAAACTTCATACTGTTCTATGGCCTCCATGGTGGTAGTGGGTTTTGGCTTGGCAAAAGCTACCAAAGTTTTATATGCAGTTATCCCTGCTGCAACAATGCTAATTATAGTAATTTACTTGCAAATACGCCCCCACAAATTTTAAAACAAACAAAAACCCCATATATACAGTTAGTCATTGGGTATTATTTTTCATGGCAAAATATTGGAAAGAATCTAATGCCATTCATGGAGAAGATACAGCATTTAAAGTTCGCTCTAGCCACGGAATGGAATAATCTGCAGCTGTGAAAGGGAGGGGGAGGGAAAGGGGAAGGAGGAGGATGGCTGTTCGGAAACCGGGGACACATGGGCAGTATTGCTGTCTTGGGTGCATACTCACTTCTCAAAATTTATTCTGAGAGAGAGAGAGAGGAAGAGAGAGAGGGAGAGAATATCCCAAGCAGGTTCCATGCTACCGGTCCAAAGTCTGATGTGGGTCTGGAACTAAGGAACTGAGTAAAAACCAAGAGTCCGAAAGCTTAACCAACTGAGCCACCCAGGCGCCTGGGGCCATAATCACTTTTACATTATTTTAAAACTACATAGTCAAAGAGTGCTACTGTAATAAGCACATCAGAAATAATTTACACAAGTATTTTTCCAAACCCGGAATACCTAGTATATGCTTGGTGCAATGTGTTCCCAATGTAAAAACACATCTTATGAAGACAAATACTAAAATCAAATACCTATTTATTGCTCATTGCATGCCAGGCATGGTTTCAAGTGTTTTCTATTTGTTAAGTCCTTTAATTCTTGTTTCCCTTCTGGGAAAAGGAGGCACAGGGCGGTGCAACCTTACTCCGTGCACACAGCTCAACCCAAGCCGTTCCTGCCTGCAAGCCTCCGAAGTCTGGCTGGGACTCTGGGCTCCGCCACCCGACTCACGAGCTTTCCTCTTCCTACCCTCCCACCAACACCCACGTTCTTGCTTCCTGATTGAAAAAGCCCACAGGTGCAAGCAGGTCCTCCTGGGTGTCTCCAATCTTCCTGAAAGATCTCAATATCGCAAATGGTCTCTAAACGGAAAATGCTTGAGCCTTAAGGTTAAGTACAAAAGGTAACTAACTGGGTGCACCGAAGGCCTGGGGGCAAATAAGTGCATTTCTGACTTCCAGGTGGTTCCGAGGGAAGCGGCTGAAAAGTGGAGCGGACAGCGGTTGGGTCTCTGGGACCCTCCAGGAGCGGGGCCTCCCTGCTCCTCCCGCGGGAACGCGCACAGGATGCACGCGCCCTCCTACGCGGGGACGCCGCCCGGTGCCACTCCCGCGGGGTCTGCAGACCAGGGGCACCCACTGAGCACGCGCAGAAAAGCGGTGGCGGTGCCCACTGCGCACGCGCGCGGCTCGGCCCCGGGGAGCCGGGTAGCAACACGGCCACGCGGAGCCGCACCTGCCAATCAGCGCGGGCCGGGGCGGAGCTTCTCGCCAGTACTCCGCGGTAGGCGGCGGGGACTTCCGGCAATAAACCTCCTCTTGGCGGTCAGGTGGGAACCGAGGGCGTCTGCGCTCCGGGCGGGGACTGAGGCGGTGCGCGCTCCAGGTGGGGACGGCGACCCCCGCCTCCTAGCCCGCCCCGCGCCAGGTAGGGTCGGGGCCCCTCCGTGCGCCGGGTGGGGAACAGAGGCGGTCCTCAGCCGCGCGCCCGGGGCCTCCCCCGGCCGCCGCCCACCCCTGCGCGCCCGCGTCTCCGCCGCGCCCTGCGCTCCCTGCCGCGGGCGCCTCCTTAGGGGTCTGCACCGCTGCTGCCGCGGCCCGCCTCCCCGCTGTTCCCGCAGCTCCTTAGTGCCTCGGAGCCGGCGGCCCCCGCCCCGCGAGCTCCCCGCCCCCGCGTCCCGAGCCTCTCCTCCCAGGGCCACCTGCTCCCTGCGCTCCTTATCCGCACCCGCCGCGCCGTCCGCGGCCCCCGGCTCGTCCTCGGCTCTGGCCTGCTCCCCTGCCTGCCTGCGCTCTCGGCTGACGCCTTGGCTTGGCATCCTCTTCACTGTGAACTCCGTTTTGACCCTTCCCGCTGGATCCCACTACTCTCCGTGGGCCTCTTCAGACTCACTCTGAAAACTCACGCATCTGAAGAATCCCTTCTTCTCTCTGGAAACCCTCTTTTCTGGCATCTTCCAAATCCGTAACCTCCAGCCCTAAGCAGAAGGCGCGTTTTCGCATTCATTGCTAAGAATTCATACTCCTCTTCCTTTTCAGTTTCCCTCTTTATTTCCTCATCTGTTTCTTGAAAGCATTTCTGATACTCTCAGGCCTCCTTACAGTAAATCCCGTTTCTGATTCTCCTCCCTCGGTTCACCATCTCTTGATGTGCTTTTGGGATCAAGTTCTTCAATGCTTATAAGCCATATTCATGTTTGACCCTAAATTATTTGGAAATTTTGTAAGGATAAGAAAGTAGTGAAAGAGATCAAGTGCTTGTGAAATTGAGGACTAGTCTTGTTGCGGAACAATGAAAGTGTTCTCAAAATTTATGTTAAAACATAAGAAATAAGGGGAAGAGGGGCGCCTGGGGGGCCCAGGTGGTTAAGCATCCGACTTCGGCTCAAGTCATGATCTCGCAGTTCGTGGGTTCGAGCCCCGCGTCGGGCTCTGTGCTGACTGCCAGCTCAGAGCCTGGAGCCTGCTTCAGTCTGTGACTCCCTCTCTCTGACCCTCCCCTGCTCACGCTGTCTCTCTCTCTCCTAGAAATAAATAAAACATTAAAAAAAATAATAAGGGGAAGAAAAACTCATTTGCCATGCTATTTCACATTCAAGCTATTTTTCTTTAATGTGAAGCTGCCTTGCTATTATCTATGTTGTGATTTTCTTTAAAAAAATTTTAAACGTTTTCATTTATTATTGAGAGACAGAGCATGAGCATGGGAGGGGCAGAGAGGGGGGAGACAGAATCTGAAGGAGGCTCCAGGCTCTGAGCTGTCAGGACAGAGCCCAACACGGAGCTCTAACCCACTGCAAGATCATGACCTGAGCTGAAATCGGAGCTTAACCGACTGAGCCACTCAGGCGCCCCTATGTTGTGATTTTCTTATCTGGGTGTAGTATGTGTAGCATTACCTTGAGCTCTGCACTTACCTGCTTTCACTGTCTGGAGGATGAACTTTAATAAGGGCTGTGCGATCTGGTTACTCCACTTTCTTTTCATCTAACTTAAGACAAACTGCTAAATACATGTAGCCTTTTACAAGGCTGGTATGTTTTCCTGAGTGTTTTTATACTTAGAACAATCATTAGTTTAGATCGTATCTGGCGATGTATGGAATACAAGGTAACATTAAAAAAAAACAACAGTTTTTTTTTTAATATTTTTATTTATTTCTAGGAGAGAGAGAGAGAGAGACAGCGTGAGCAGGGGAGGGTCAGAGAGAGAGGGAGATACAGACTCCGAAATAGGCTCCAGGCTCTGAGCTGGCAGTCAGCACAGAGGCCAACGCGGGGCTCGAACCCAGGAACCGCGAGATCATGACCTAAGCGAAAGTCGGACGCTTAACCGACTAAGCCACCCAGGCGCCCCAAAACACCACAGTTTTATGACCTTTGTTTTCACATGGTGCTCATGAGTTGCTGGTATAAAAGTGCAGGTATAGAGCCTGGACCCTGGAATGAAACTCTAGGAATGTAACTCTCAGCTCCACCAGGTGTTGTGCCTTAGTTTCTTCATCTGTAAAATGGAGAATTAAGCCTGTAAAAGGGGGGATGGTAACATTTTCTATCTTTTAGGGCAGTGTGAGGGATAACTGAGATAATACAGGTAAATTGTTCAGAGGAGTGCCTAACCCATACTGAGCTCTAACACACACTTGCTGTTTTATCCTTAGTTAAGAAGAGGAAAATGCTTGGAGGAAGACCTTTCTGGGTTAGTTCTGCCTCCCGTGTTAGGAGCCTCCACCCCCATTTCCTGCCTTGTGAAACAGGGATGAAGAGAAGATTTGTGAGAGTTTAGCCCCTGTGCTCTCTGACAAAATTGCACATTGTACCAGCTAGTTCACAACAGAGTAGCTGCCTCTGAGTAGCTGCTCTTATGTGCCTCATAGTTTTCAGGAGTAAGTTTTGCTTTTAATTTTGTGTTTGAAATTTTTCAAAACAAATGTGATTTTAATTAAAATTTATTAAGGTGTAGCAATTCAGGTCTTTAGCAAAACAGATAAATATATTTCCATTAAAAAGTGATGGGTTGTTCATCATTCCAGAAGTTTAGTAGTATTTCTGATCTGCAAATTTAGATGCCTCAGATTGGGAGTATCTTTGAAAATTGGATCCCAGGCCTTTCACACTGCACCTTGTCTGTTTTGCTTCTTGCTTTTCCTGATGGCTTTTTGTTGTTGTTTGTAATAAATCTGCTTTAAGAGTCTGCTTTAGTTCATGAACTGTATAGGATTACACTTTATTTTTTTTAATTTTTAAAATTTATTTCTAGGAGAGAGAGACAGCGTGAGCAGGGGAGGGTCAGAGAGAGAGGGAGTCACAGACTGAAACAGGCTCCAGGCTCTGAGCTGACAGCACAGAGCCCGACGTGGGGCTCAAACTCACGAACCGTGAGATCATGACTTAAGCGAAAGTCGGACGCTTAACCGACTGAGCCACCCAGGCGCCCCTATAGGATTACACTTTAAAACAAAGCTTCATGGGGCACCTGGGTGGCTCAGTCAGTTAAGCATCTGACTTTGGCTCAGGTTATGATCTCACGGTTCGTGGGTTTGAGCCCCGCATTGGGCTCTGAGCTGACAGCTAGCTCAGAGCCTAGAGCCTGTTTCAGATTCTGTGTCTCCCTCTCTCTCTCTCACCCTCCCCTGCTCACGCTGTCTTTCTCTCTCTCAGAAATAAATAAAACATTAACAATTTTTTTAAAAAAGTGAAGCTTCATTATGGCCCAAAGAACATAATATGTCACATCTCTGTAATCCTCATGTCTACAGCAAAACAAATCTTTTTCTCTGTTTTGAAAATAAAAAACCTTGGAAATGTACTATTTTAAAAAAATGTTTTATTTATTTTTGAGAGAGCACAAGTAGAGGAGGGACAGAGAGAGAGAGACAGACAGACAGACAGAGAATCTGAAGCAGGCTCCGCACTGTTGGCAGTTAGCCCTATGTGTGGCTTGAACTCATGAACTGTGAGATCATGATGTGAGCCAAAGTCTGACGCTTAACCAACTGAGCCACCCAAATATCCCAGAAATGTACTTTTTTAAAATTTCTATGGTCCATGTAGCTGCATTTTATTCCTTCCAACCCCTATGAGTACAAACACCTACATGTGAAATATTCAGGCTAACCATTCATTGCTCACAACGGTAGTTGCAAAAGCGTTGATTATCTTACTTGAAACACCAAGCTGACTCTTTATAGTGAAAACTTTGGTTAAATGTCATGGAAGTTGCTTTTGAGGCCTGAATAGAAATGCGTTAAGTGGTGAGTGGGCACAGTGCCTAAATAGACAAGTACAGCGTTGGTGTGTCATCAGCGTTTCAGAAAATTTGTTAGTGGAGGTGTCGGCAGAACTTTCTCTCGCCTGATTAGTTGTGCTTTCTGCCTCCATCCATTCCATCTTCCCCACAGACCTTGGGCAGGTCATCAGAACAGCAGGGCTCACATCCTTATGTTGCCTGAAAACTTTTATTTGGAGAATAAAGTCGAAACACCGTTGATATTCAAGGCTTCTGGTCACCTCTCCACCCTGACTACCAACCTTCCCAAAGATTTCTGTTTCAGCCAGCCTGTTCTGTTCCTTGTTCTTAAAGGTGTTAGATGTATTCCCAGCTTTGGTTTTCTTTGCCCACCATTTCTGTGATTGGTATTTTCCCCATGTCTCTCCACTTAAGATCTAACCATGGGCTTTTTAAAAAAATGTTTTATTTGTTTTTGAGAGACAGCATGAGCAGGAGAGGGTCAGAGAGAGAGGGAGATACAGGATCTGAAGCAGATTCCAGGCTCTGAGCTGTCAGTACAGAGCCTGACACGGGGCTCGAACCCATGAACCCTGAGATCATGACCTAAGCCGAAGTTGGACGCTCAATTGACTGAGCCATCCAGGCGCCCCAAGATCTAACCATGGGCTTTAAGGGCAAGATCATGTCCTAGTTTTTCTTCCAAAGTCCTAGATAGCTTGCTTTTTACTCTGAATTTTAGTTATTCTCTCACTCAGTATGTACATACACAATTTTTATGTTTTTAAAATATATTTACATTATTTGTGTGTTTTCTCATTTGTATTGTCTTTTTGTTTTATTTTTTGTTTGTTTTTCAGAAAGAGAGGCAGAGAGAGAGGGAGACACAGTATTTGAAGCAGGGTCCAGGCTTTGAGCTGTTAGCACAGAGCCCAATGCGGGGTTTGAACCCATGAACCATGAGATCATGACCTGAACAGAAGTGGGATGCTCAACTGACTGAACCACCCACATGCCCCATGTTGTCTTTTTTAGATCTTCAACTAGATAGTACACCTTTAGGGAAGGGGTACATAGCATAATAACACATTTGGTCTGTGTTTAAATGTTTGACATTGAAGTAATCTATATTTGGTCCATTTTTTTTAAAGGTTTATTTTTGAGACAGAGACAGAGCATGGGGGGGGGGAGACCGAGGGAGACACAGAATCTGAAGCAGGACCCAGGCACCCCTATTTATTTTTTAATTATTTATTTTTAAGAGGAAGAGTGGGTTAAGGGCAGAGAGGGGGTGGGGGGACAGAGGATCTGAAGCAGGCTCCATGCTGAGAGGAGAGCTCAGAGCCTGGTATGGGGCTTGAACTCATGAACTGTGAGATCGTGACCTGAGCTGACGGAGCCACCCAGGCATCCCTATATTTGGTTCAGCAGTATTCTGCATGGTTGCCCCTTTTTTGAAATACAGATTTTTCTGAATCCACGACCTATGACGAGAGATCTCAGAGATGGTCCTCATGCCCATTGTGCCTCGTGTGTGTTTAATGAGACTCACCTGCTGTTTCAGAGCATCTGCTCTGTCACGCTGTGCACTTGCCTCCTCAAGTAGGAGTGTTCTCTGGACTGCATCTGAAGCTGTATGAAGATTTAGGAAATCATTGCATACTGTTGGAGACAATTCTAGTTAACTGAGTTGACTAGACATGAGTGGTAGCTGTTGCATTTTAGGGTGATTGGTAGCTTGAAACAGGTCTGCAAGATGATGCTTATCAGAATAGTGCTGGTATTCAAATAGGGATATTTAAGTGCCTTCTAAAGTAAGAATTTAAGTGAATGAACATGTGACTATAAAAGATGTGTTCTTGGTGGAAACTGGGTTGAGCAGGGTTTTGTGATCCTGCTGGTATACAGGAAGATGAGGGGTTCATTGTAACATTTCATATGCTGGTTAGGGAAATGAGCATGTAGAATTGACCCATAAATGTTGCTGAAGACCTGGAACTTCTTTGTACCTTTTTTTTTTGGTCTCTTCTAAGCCAGTATGAAGATCTATCTAGTATCCTGGTTTTTGTTAGATATGATATAGTTAAGAGATTATATCAAAAACCTTTCATCATTCACATACTCTGTGCTAGAAATACTGTCCGTTAGAGAAATGCTTCAAGTTTGCTTTGGACATGAGTTAATATAACACATTATTCTCTTGAAACTATTTTTGGTTGAGATAGCCGTTATCTTTTTGTAGTTGCATTCAGTATACACTTTACAATTTTTACAATACTAGCTTGTGAATAATGTTTTCCTCTCTGCCAATCATTTAAAATACATTCTTCTCCTGACTTCCTGCTCCCTTCCCCTACCTCTTAGGCTCTTCCTTTCAGTTTCCTTTCTTGGCTCAGCTTTATCTGCTTGTCTCTTAAATGTCTGCTTGTCCCTTAGAGTTTTTTCCTTGGTTCTAGTCTTTTCCCACTATTACTCTCTGTGGTGGTATCATTCCCCTGGCTTTGATTACTACCTGAATGCCGACGATATTCCTCTTGTGTTCTCCAGCCTCATTCTCTCTTCTGAGCAGTGGATCTGTATATGCATCCATTCATTCAATGCTAATTGAGCTCCCCAGCATTGTTAAAAAAAAAAAAAAAAGTGCTCTTACCCGTCGCCCACAAATATTCATATTTAGTTGTCTGGAGAGAAACCAAGCACTTGTATTTTCTAAAAGCTTCCAAGCCTCTAATGTTAACGCACAGCAAGGATAGAGAAACACTGAGCCAGAGGAAGGCAAGTCCAGGCAATGGAAGAGCTAGTATTTGAGGTCTTGCTTTCACCAAATTGTAAACTTTATGAGAATAGTAGTATCTGTGTCATGATTTTTAAGGTCATAATTTTTTAAGTTACTCATTTATTTTGAGAGAGCCAGCAGGGGAGGGGGGGTCAGAGAGAGAGAGAAGGAGAGAGAGAAAATCCCAAGCAGGCTCCATGCTGTCTGTGCAGAGCCTGATGCAGGGCTCAAACTCACAAACCATGGAATCATGACCTGAGTCACTTAACTTGACTAAGTCCTCCAGACGCCTTGAAGGTCATAATTTCTATACCTGGGTCCTTATATGTGGATTCCAGTATAGTTCCTTCCTGTCACCACGGACTCAGCAAATCTGACAGGCCTGTCCAAAACTAAAATTAACATCTATTCCTTCTTTATTCATGATCTCAGAGCCAGATTCAACAAACTGAAACCTGGCTCTCTGACTTCCCCTCACATGTGCAGGCAGCCTGGCATTGCTCTGTGCCCCACAGGCCTCTCCCTGGCATAGCTGAGAATGTGCCAGCTGGTTCCCTTAGAGTCAGACAGCAAGAGAGACAACAGGGAGGAAGCCAGGCCTTGGTCACTGCTGACCCCGCCTCCTAAGTGCTTTTGGAATCGGTTCCTTCTGCGGCCATCCCCTTGCATCTCCTAATGCCTTCTATTCTGTAGCTGCCAGTCCTAACTCTTCCCGCCACGTGTCTGCCGGTGCCTGCCAGCCCCAGCTTCCATCCTCACAGTGGGACCCTGAGGGTTTTGTGACACTTGAATCTGATCGAATCATGTGCCTGCGGAAGTTCCTTTCTTGGCCGCTCGCTGCCCTTGCAGGAAAGTCCAGCCCCCTGACTTGGTCACTGCTCCAGTCTCCCTTCTCACTGCGCCTACACTCGCTCTCCTGTGAGCTGCAGCCAGACCGACGCACGTGCGGCGCTGAACACAGATGTGTCTCGTGTTGTGTTGCTTCTGGTTTCTGGTGGAGACAGGTTTGGCTGTTCGCCGTATTACTCCCTGTTCTCCCTCCTTCCTGGACTCCTGCTTGTTTCTAGGTCCCAGCTGAGATGCCCCCTCTGGTAAATCTTTCCTGACATCTGCAGTGTTGGGTTAGCACATCCACCCCTACGTATCCCTTCTTACCATTTTGGTACAACTGAGGTGCCGTGTCATCTTATCGCCTTATCGCCAGTGTCTAGCCAGCATTTAAGGCATATGCAGACATTTGAATATTAAGAACCTTATTCTTTAAAATTAGTAAATGTTCTCAGGGCACCTGGGTGACTCGGTTAAGCATCCTGACTTTTTTTTTTTTTTTTTTAAACGTTTTATTTATTTCTAGGAGAGAGAGAGAGACAGCGTGAGCAGGGGAGGGTCAGAGAGAGAGGGAGTCACNCGTGAGCAGGGGAGGGTCAGAGAGAGAGGGAGTCACAGACTGAAACAGGCTCCAGGCTCCAAGCTGGCAGTCAGCACAGAGCCCGACGCGGGGCTCGAACCCACGAACCGCGAGATCATGACCTAAGCGAAAGTGGGATGCTTAACCGACTAAGCCACCCAGGCGCCCCACATCCTGACTCTTAATATCAACTCCGGTCATAATCTCACAGTTTGATTTGTGAGATCAAGCCCCGTGTTGTGCCGCGCAAAGCCTGCTTGGAATTCCCTCTTTCCCTTCCTCGCTCTGTCCCTCCCCTCCACTCTTTCAAAACAAACAAACATTAAATAAAAATGAGGGGCGCCAGGATGGCTCAGTCTGTTGAGCATCTGACTTCAGCATCAGGTCATGATCTTACAGTTTGTGGGTTTGAGGCCCACGTCGGGCTCTGTGCTGACAGGTCACAGCCCGGAGCCTGCTTTGGATTCTGTGTCTCCCTTTCTTGCTGTCCCTCCCCCATTTGTGCGCGTGCGCACTCTCTCTCAAAAATAAACCTGAAAAAAATGTTCTGAATGAAAGGAAACTTGCTAATTAGAGACACCTTTTTAACATAAATTCTCTTACAGGCGAACTATGCCGTTTTTGGGCCAGGACTGGAGATCTCCTGGATGGAGCTGGATTAAAACAGAAGATGGTTGGAAGAGATGTGAATCCTGGAGTCGGGAACTCGAGAGAGAGAACAACCAGTGCAACGTGAGTCACAGCATGTAAGTTCTAGCGGGACCACGCCATCTGCCTGCCTAACGTTGATGGTTTCTATTTTTGAAGTCCCAGCAAAGCCCTGTAACGTGTGATTTGGCTGAGTTTGCCCAGACACACGGCCGATGTGAAGACACGGTAGACTGTGGAGCGCCCCCGACAGGTGCTTCTCTCTTCTGTGTGAATGGGTAGCCTTTACAGTAATCGGAGAAAAGGGATCACTGTCGACCCCACGTTGTAGCTGAGGAGCTCAGGTGATTCAGTCTTGGCAGCACGAATCCGAGACGCCTGGTGATTGCAGCTTGCACGAGACGGAAGTCTGCTCCTCTCTCTGGAAATCCTGAGTGGGTGTAGTGACCTTGCTCGGGGAGGGAAGGGCATTCTCTGTTGCTGCTCGGCTGTCGCATTGCACAGCGAAGAGGGTGTGTGGCCCACGGCACCTGCTCTCCAGTCAGCAGGACGGGAGACGAGCAGGACACAGGTGTCACATTTGCTCCACCTCCTTGGCTGGAGTGCCAGGTGTGTGGGAGCTCAGGGGCATGGCCTCTCTGATGTGTGTCCAGGTCAACATCAGAGATGGCGTAAACCCCGAAGTGTGGATGGTAACTGGCAGTCTCCACCACGAGTGATATTAGAACATTCAAAGGATTAGGAAGATCTCTGGGCCTCTTCCTTCAAGGTGTTATGGGTCTAGGAATTGGTTTTTCTGTACATATTAAAAACTTTTTTTTAATGTTGATTTTTGAGGGAGAGAGAGAGTGAGTGAAAGAGATAGGGGCAGGGAGAGAGAGAGGGGCAGGGAGAGAGAGAGAGAGAGGGAGGGAGGGGCAGAAAGCGAGAGACACAGAATCTGAAGCAGGCTCCAGTCTCTGAGCTGTTAGCACAGAGCCTGATGCCAGGCTTGAACCCGTGAACCATGAGATCATGACCTGAGCTGAAGTCGGACACTCGACCGACTCAGTCACCCAGGCGTCTCAATTTTACTGTATATTTTAATTTGGCATTTGCATAAAAAACTCTGTGTTTTTAACAGGCAGGAAATCTGATTTTCATTTTTAAGAAATCATTTTATTTATTATTTGTTTCATGATATAAATGTACTCTTTAATCCCTATCCCTTATTTCACCCATTGCCCCACCTGCTTCCCCTCTGGGGACCATAAGCTTGTTCTTTATAGTTAAGAGTCTGTTTCTCAGCTTTGCCACTTTCTTTTTTTTTTCCCCTTTGCTCATTTTTCTTTATTAAATTCCACATGTGAGTGAAGTCATTTGGTATTTGTCTTTTTCTGACTGATTTCACTCAGAATCAAGGACTCTACCTCTATTCACGTCGTTGCAAATGGCAAGATTTCATTCTTTTTATGGCTGAGTGCTATTCCGTTGTGTCTGCACCACTTCTTTATCCATTCATTGGTCAGTGGACACTTGGGCTGCTTCCGTATCTTGGCTACTGTGACTAATGCTGCAATAAACATAGGGATGCATGTATCCCTTTGAATTAGTGCTTTTATATCTTTTGGGTAAATACGTAGTAGAGCAATTGCTGGGCTGTAGGGTAGTTCTATTTTTAACTTTTTGAGGAACCTCCATCCTGTTTTCCAGAGTGGCTGCGCCAGTTTGCATTCCCACCAACAGGACAGGAGGGTTCCCTTTCTCCACCAGCACGTGTTGTTTGTGGTGCCATTGATTGTGAGCTCTTCTGACAGGTGTGAGATGGTATCTCAGTGTGGTTCTGATTTGCATTTCCCTGATGATGAGTGATGTTGAGCATCTTTTCATGTGTTTTTTGGCATCTGGATGACTTCTTTGGAAAAATATCTGTTCATGTCTTCTGCCCATTTTTTAATTGTTTTTTTTTGTTTTTTTTTTGGAAGGGGTATTGAGTTGAATAAGTTCTTTATGTGTTTTGGATACTAAGCCTTTATCAGGCATGTCATTTGCAAATATCTTTTCCTATTCTGTATATTGTCTTTTAGTTTTGCTGATTTTTTCCTTTGCTGTGGAGAAGCTTTTCATTTTGATGTAGTCCCAATAGTCTATTTTTACTTCAGGCTGTCTGATTTTCTAACACAAATTTAGTGCTTTAGATTAGAGACTGTTTTGCAGTATTTGATTATATTCAAATTATAGTATATATTTGAGATTATAGTAAAGATAACATGTACTTATTAAACCTATATTGTGGCATTTCTCTGCGATTCTGAATTTTATTTTATATTGATGGCTGTGTAAGATTCTGTGTAAGATTCGTAATTCTACATGCTGTCAGTATTAGATAATGTCACAGCTGTGAATTTTCAAAGTTATTTTTTGTCTTCTGGTTTTCATAGCAAATTATTTAAATATAAAGTTGGTTGCATACATGTGGAAATGGTTGACGTCTACAAGGACTCCTCATGACCTACTGTTAAATGTGGGGACTCCAGAAGTCACCAGTTCAGGATGGGTAAAGAGGCTGGGAAATGTCAGACTTAAGAAGCTGTACGGTGTGAAATATGACGCTACTTCTGCCCTAGGGAATTTGCAGGAGTCTGAGTTTTCTTCCTCATGTATTTTTCCCCACATGTTCCCATGCATTTTGTGTGTCTAAGAATTAAATTTTTTCTGTATACACACAGAGTTAGTGAAAATACACTCAAGCCATGTCTTCTTTGCATGATAAACTCCATATCCACCTGTCCCCCTCACCCTCTTCCCCATAAACTCTCCCCTCACCCACTCCCATTCAGACTTCATTTAAAAACCCTTTGAAACAGTAAGCCTTGCTGACCCAAGCTTCTCTGCGCCTTCAAAACCTGTCCAGCTGAGCTTATCGAGGCTCCTCTGTTCGTTGGGTGAAGTGAAGGGGGAATGAGTTAACTGTCCGTTCTTTACACCATCCCGTTGTCTTGTTCCCACTCTACCTTTTTTCTTTGTTGTTCTCCTCTTGCCCATTTCCACAAAAATGCATCTCCTAACCTGTGGGGAGAGGCCACCGATGACCCAGAACTACAGCCAATGTCTGATATTTTTCTTACCCTGGAAGAAAAAGCGATCTAGCTTTGAACTACAATTTGATGCAGAAAATAAAACCATATGTAACCACCATTTCAAATCACTGAGTAAAATGACCTCTTCCTCTGAATGTCTGTGAGAAACAGCATGCCCAATTCTTTGGTTGAAGGTAGGCTTTCTAAAGCTAGTAAAAATCACTTAGGCAGTGAAGATTCTCACCAGTGGTGTAAAATGTTTGTAATGGGCATGAAAATACAAGACATTTAAATATCCCTTTGCTCTCTTTTTGCCTCATTTTAGGATTAAGAGTGGAGCAAATAGGTAAGAAATTACACGGTTCAACAGGGTTAATTCAGGCAGGGCTGACCCGTTCATACTTTGAATCCTGATTAAGCTGCTTTTTCAAGCAACATTCATGATACTGTGGAGGTTAATGATGATGGAGCGATATTCACCCCTATTTTGCACGCTTCCCTCTCCTTTAAAAGGTGTGTAGAGTGTGCAGGCTTGCGCTGCGGAGCACAGTTTGATATGTGCGCCCTTCCGGAGAGGTTTGTTCGCTCCCCTGTGGATACACAGGAGGGTGGATGAGTGGGCCACACAGCGACCAGGGGATGCCCAGTTCGGGATTCTAGGGGAGGGAGGATGAGCATGTGCCCAGGGCAGCGTCCATGTAGTCGGATGGCGGGGGGAGGGCCCCAGTCAGCAAGACAGTAGGCAACAGACTGCATGAGGAGAAAGGGGAGCAGCCACCCGATACACCGTGAGGGTTTGGCTTGGGAAGAACCATACTGAGTCCTCATCCGGCTCGGTCCCTCCATCAAGGTGTTGTTGCTACTCAGTGTGACATTTGATGACAGATCTTGTATGATTTTTGCAAAGGGACGTATTGCAGAGGAGTGTCTGGGTGCTCTGTCTTTCAGAATTGGCAGTCTTTCCCATGAGATTGTGCTGTGCTTAGTAGCTCGGGCCTGAGGCGGCATGGAGGGCAGTGCTCCTGTGAACCTGAAATGGGGGGGCGGCCAGCTCCATGGGGCTTAGCTCTGCCTTAACAGTGACGTTTTTAGTGTTTCCTCCCTTTGCATTTAGCGTATTAAACCTTTTTGTTGCATTATTTTTTTATTATCATTTTTTTCTTTTTAAATGTTTATTTAAATTCTAGTTATTTAACATACAGTACAATATTGGTTTCAGGAGGAGATTTCAGTGATTTACAACACCCAGTGTTCATCAGAACAATGGCCCTCCTTAGTACACATTACCCATCTAGCCCACCCCCCACCCATTAACCCTCAGTTTGTTCCCTATCTTTATTTTTTTAACTTTTTATTTATTTTTTGATTTTTTTAAATAGTTTGTTGTCAAGTTGGTTTCCATATAACACCCAGTGCTCATCCCCACAAGTGCCCTCCTCCATGCCCATCACCCCCCTTCCCCTCCCCCCCATCAGTCCTCAGTTTGTTCTCAGCATTCAAGAGTCTCTCATGGTTTGCCTCCCTCCCTCTCCCCCACCATTTCCCCCACTTCTCCTCCCCCATGGTCCTCCGTTAAGTTCCTCCTAATCCTCCTATACGTGCAAACATATGGTATCTGTCCTTCTCTGCCTGACTTATTTCGCTCAGCATAACACCCTCAAGTTCCATCCATGTGGCTGCACATGGCCAGATTCCATTCTTTCTCATTGCCATGGAGTATTCCATCGTATAGATAAACCACATCTTCTTGATCCATTCGTCAGCTGATGGACACTTAGGCCCTTGCATTATTTTTATTGGCATCTCATTAAATCTTGTTTCAAATCCCAGTTTCAATAACTTAAGGTTTATTTTGGTCATTTGGTTCTCAGTGGGCATAGCAGTGGGGGGCATCGTAAGTCTGGGGCTTCACAGAAAGTATTGTCAACTCTTCTATTTCCCAAGATAACTGAAGATATCAGTTCAGTTGTGGAGCCCTGACCCCCTCCCCCCAAGGGAAAAGGAAAGAGGACGTATTTTTGGTTCCCCTATGAAAATGCAGAGTGGGTCTCTGATCACGACAATGGAGGGAGAATTCAGGAGTCCTCTGGCCCTTGAAGAACCGAGCACCCGAGGCCATAGGACCTGGGTGAGGAGAGTTCCCAGGCCCCTTGGTTAGAGTAAATCCGTGTGCTGTCATTTGGTGTTTTCCCCTTAGTGTCCTTGTGGTTATGGCCGCCTTAGATTTTCCTTCAGTGGCAGGAAGGAGAACTCTGTGACTTAGCGGCTGAGCCCCAGTGTCAGACTCCACACTCAGTGTTTCAGGCAGAACTCGTTACTCCTCTCTTGAGTAAGGATTTTGCATGGGCTGTAAATGTCTATCTCTGACTTTGTTTTAATGTTGCATTTTTTGTCAGTTATAAAGCCACAGAAGTCCTACAGTCCTAAAGCCTGTAAAATGAGAGTGGAGGTCGTCCGTGGCTTGCTTGCCGTCCTACACGGGTGACCAGCTGCGTGGTTGCTCTGATTGACCCAGATGTCAGAGTCTGCAAAGCCTCACCGTCTCCTCCGTCCCAAGTCTTCCCAGTGCCCAGCATGATGTTAGTGTCTGTGTGTGGCTCTCACACACCCTGGCCTCTCGGGGCTTGACCCCCTCATTTTAGGACTTCCTTCTCTTCTCTGTCAGAGCCCCAGCCCCACGGTTCAGAACCATGAGTGTAGACCGCCCCCCGGCTTTACACAACGCCTGCCTGCTTCCGGGCTCCGTGACCTCCTCGTCAGCCAGATGCCTGTGTCCCTGTCCTTCTTCGTCTCCATGTGTGGCTTATTTGCCATGACCCATTGTGTCAGTAATGCTCTTGCCAATACCGGAAACTTCCATTCTTTTTTTTTTTTTTTTTAATGTTTTATTTATTTCTAGGAGAGAGAGAGAGACAGCATGAGCAGGGGAGGGTCAGAGAGAGAGGGAGTCACAGACTCTGAAACAGGCTCCAGGCTCTGAGCTGACAGCACAGAGCCCGACGTGGGGCTCGAACCCACGAACCGCGAGATCATGACTTAAGCGAAAGTCGGATGCTTAACAGACTAAGCCACCCAGGGAACTTCCATTCTTTTTTTAAAAATAGACCCGCTTAGCAAATTCTTAACCCTGAACAAACTGACACGTGAGCTGCCAGGAAACGTAAGAGGGACAGGTGGCAGCAGAGAGCACACAGACCATTACGGACTCACCTGCACCCCTTCACTCGCTCGCTCGCCCCGGCACTCCCTGCCCTTCAGAGGGCCTCCCGTGGCTCCTGCGCTCCTGCTTTGGGGGGGCCCTCTCAGACCCCTGTTGTCTGTGCTGTGGCACTGGGGAACCTGAAGACTGCAGACGTTCTCAGAGCCTTACGGTCATCATCTTGGGCTCTATCCTGAATCTCCGCGAATTTCATCCAGATTACCCATGATGGCAGAATTGGAGACTTTACATTTTTATTGCTGACTGCGTCATCATGGACAGAACGTGAGCTGGCCCCTCACCCCCATGTGCACAGTGGCTGGTGGGAGCTGGTGGCTGGATGCTGCACAGAGGGCCAGGGACAGGAACTGATGTGTCTCCTCTAGAGTGGAGCTCCTGGGGGCAGCGAGCTGGAGCCTCACCCCTGCCCCTAGTGCGTGGATGGAGCCGTCTGGGAGCCACACCAGAAACATCCCCAGAGTCGCCATCTCCCCTCAGCCCATACTCGGTGTCCCCAGTGCTGTGACGCGGCTGAATGCACTTTAGGTCTAGTGGGGCAGGGAGAAAACGGGCAGAACAAGTTGTGTGGCTCGTGCTGTCTGATAGGCGCTGAAGGGGGGAGAAGCCCTGGTGGGAGGTAAAAAGGTCGAGGGAAAGGCCGTGGTGAATGGGGGGTAGGCAGGGTGGACCCCTAGAGGATGGGGTCTGCTCGGTGACCCTGTGGGCACTGGTGACGTTGGAGAAGAGCCTGGGGGAGGAGGGGCAGAGACCCCGGGACTGGGAGGCTGCGGGGGGTCCAGATGTGTGCACTGGGGGCCGCGGCCAGAGCCGAGGTCTCTGCCTGGTAGAAGCCCAGGCCCCTGTGCCCCCGGGACGGACATGTGGAGGTTCTCAGCATGTGGGGTGTTGGGACAAGCTCCTTCCGGCCACCGTGTTAGGGATGAGCTGCAGGGGTCCAGGGCAGAGCAGAAGCCAGTTGGGAGCACCCACGAGAGAAATGCCTGTAGCTTGGACAGGGTGGGGGTGCGGGTGAGTCGGGGTCAGAGTCAGCTGTGGCTTGCAGCGGGGGCCAAGCTGGAAGAGGCTGCTGGGTGGAGGAGAGGAGCCGGGGGGCGGGGGGGGGGGACAGGCGGGCTGCAGTGACGCCACGGGGACATGGCTCCGGTCGTCGTGTGCACGGGGCTCACGGAGCGGGCATGCCTCTCGTCTCCCTCCCAGGGTGGTCTCGAGTCCTATTACTGTCACCAGCGCCTTCATCGTGTGCTTCCCTGTTTCTGGAAGTAGTTCAGCGTCAGAACGTGTTGATTTGCCTCATTTTTCATAAGTGCTGTCATTCATCAGATTCATGATGTATTTGCCCAAGTCTCACTGGTCGTCTTTCGTTTCCCTCATTGTAACGGATGTGTCCTGACCGACATCCATCCCCTGGTGTCAGGCGTGCGCCTGGTGACCCGGCGTCGGTGCGTGTTGTGGGTCGAGTGAGCACCGGCACCACACAGGCGTTTTCTGGTTCTTGTGATGAGAACTTCGAAGATTCTCAGCAACTTGCACACCTGCAGTTCAAGGTCAGTCACTGCGTCACATTCTCCGGCACTTACTTACTTTGACCCCTGTGCCCGTCCCCCGCCTGCAGGCTCTGGTCACCTCCAGTCCACAGTCTCTGTGCTGTCTGTAGCTGTGAGCCTGGGTCGTCGTCATCGTCAGAGTCCACGTGTAAGTGAGATCGTCCAGTACGTGTCTTTCTGCGTCTCCCTGACTGCTGTCAGCATCCGGCCCTCAGGGTGCTCCTGTGTTGTTGCAAACACCAGGATTTCGTGAGTTTTGAGTGGCTGAATAATACTCTACTGTGTATATACTGTGTATATTCGTTACCTGTGTATCCATTGAGAGATACTTAGGTTGTTTTCTTATCTTTATTATTGTATGTGATGCCCCAGCGAGCATGGGGTGCAGATATAACTTCAGGTTAGTGTTTTCACGTTATCCAGGTAAATACCTGGAAGCGGGGTTGCTGGATCATGTGGTAGTTCAATTTTTAACTTTTTGAAGAAACCCCATACTGTTTTCTACAGTGGTGCACCCCTTCGCATTCCCACCAGCAGTGGATGAGCGTCCCTCGCCAGCCCTTGTCCCCCTTGTCCCTTGTGTCTTTGATACCAGCCGTCTGACAAGTGTGAGCTGATACCTCATTGTTCTTGTATACATTTCTCATAATTATGATGAGCACCTTTTCATACACCTGTTGACCATTTGTATGTCTCCTCTGGAAGATGTCTGTTGAGATTTCTGCTCATTTTTTAATTGGATTATTTTTTTTTAGCTGTTCAGTTTAAAGTTCTTTATATATTTTTGGTAGTAACTTTATATCAGGTATATGATTTGCAAAAATTTTCTCCCATTCATTAGATGCCTTTTCATTTTGATGGTTTCTTTTCTGTGAAGCTTTTTAACAGTTTTATTTATTTATTTATGAGAGAAATAAATCACATGCAAAGGAGAGGGGCAGAGGCAAAGAATCTTTTTTTTTTTTTTTTTTTAAGTTTATTTTGAGACGGAGGGAGGGACAAAGAGAGAGGAGGAGAGAGACTCTCATGCAGGCTCTGCACTGTCAGCGGGAAGCTGGATGCAGGGCTCAGTTTCATGAACTGCAAGATCATGACCTGAGCCAAGTCAGATGCTTAACTGGCTGAGCCACCCAGGTGCCCCAGGAAAGGAGAGAATCTTAAGCAGTATCCACACTCAATCCCACAACTGAGAGATCATGACTTGAGCCAAAATCAAGGCTCAACTGACTGAGCCTCCCAGGCACCCAAATATACAGACGCTTTTTAGTTTAATATGTCCCACTTGTTTGTTTTTGCTTTTGTTGCCTGTGCCTTTGGGGTCAGATTAACAATCATCGCCCAGACCAGTGAATGTCAGGGAGCTCACTCCCTGTGTTTTCTTCCAGGAGTTTTGTGGTTTCTGGTCTTACATTCAAGTCATGAATCCATTTTGATGTAAGGTGGTGGTCCAGTATCATTCTTTTGCATGAAGTTGTCTGCTTTCCCAGCACCATTTACTGAAGAACCTGTTCTTTCCCCACTCTTGACTCCATCATCCTAAATTAATTGACCACATATATGAGGGTTTATTTCTGCATTCTCTGTTCATTTGTGTATCTGTTTTTATGCCGGTGCTGTATTGAGTATTACAGCTTTGTGATACAGTTTGAAATCAGGGTACGTGATTCCCCCAGCTTTGTTTTTCTTTCTCAAGATAGCTTTGGCTCTTCATAATCTTTCATGGTTCCGTATACGTTAGGGTTATTAGTTCTGTTTCTGTGAAATGTACCTTTGGACTTTTGATAGGGATTGCATCGAATCTGTGGATTGTTTTGGGTGGTGTGGACATGTTAACAATATTAGTTCTTCCAGTCTGTGAGCGCAGAATGTCTTTCATTTATTTGTGTTTTCTTCAGTTTTTTTTTTTAATCAGTGTCTTCTAGTTTTCAGCATACATGTCTTTGACCTCCTTGATTAAATTTGTTCTTAGGTATTTTATTCTTTTTGGTGCAATTATAATTAAGATTGCTTTCTTAATTTTTCCTTTTGGTAGTTTGTTATTAATATATAGAAACACAATGGGTATTTGTGCACTGTTGGCCAGGGGAGCCCGGCTCAGCAGCCGGCACACACGGTGTCCTGGCCCAGGGACCGGAACCAGCCCGTTGCAGCCAGAAAGTGTGGGCTCCGGACTGTTGGAGCTCTTGGTGAAGTCCCGCCTCCCACCTGCTGGACTCGGCATTGAGTGGTGGTGTGAGCCACGCTGCTGGGAGCTGGGGAGCAGGGCCGTCCCCGCCAATAGCAGAGCTGATGGACAGGTCCTTGTGACCTTTTGTGAGCCCTCAGTAGGATCGGTCCTCCTTTTTCCCGCTTCTGACAGTAAGAAAGTTCCCCTTTGGTGAACACCAGCTGGGATTTGATTTTATCACTTAATCTAGTGGACGTAGTTTGAATGTGTTTTTGTTTTTGCATTCTATTTTGTAGTATTTGTGACCTTTTCAGAATGTTCCTTTTGTGATTATGTTTTTAAAATTTAACATAAATATTTTGTTTTGGTAATTTTTATTCTTAAGGCTCACAAATTTTTGTAAGCTTTCAGCTCCATGATATCAGAGTTTGGTTTTATTGGAGCAGGACTTTATTTTTTTTGTTGTCACAAATGGCAGAGATTTCTTTTTTATGGCTGAACGATACTCCAGTGTGTATGTGCATACATGCGTGTATGTGTGTATATGTGTACACATGCACACATCATCTTTATTCAGTCAGTGGATGATTAGGCTGCGCTGAATATACGGGCGCATACATCTCTTCAAATAGGTGTTTTGCTAGAAATAAAACCAGAAGTGGAATTGCTGGATCATAGGGTATTTCTATTTTAATTTTTTGAGAAGCCTCCATACTGTTTTCCACAGTGACTGCGCCGATTCACATCTCTACCAACAGTACACGAGGTTTCTCTTTTCTCCACATCCTCACCAGCACTTACTATTTGTCATTTTGATACTAGCCAATCTGACAAGTGTGCAGTGATCTCTGATTGTGGATTTGAGCTGAATTTCCCTGATAATTGCTATACTGAGCACCTTGTGTCTGTTGGCATCTGTATGTCTTCTTTGGAAATATGTCCATTCCCATCCTCTGCTCCTTTTTTATTCAGATTGTTTGGCCTTTTTTTTTTTTTTTTTTTTTTTTGAGTGTATGAGTTTTTAAAACACTTTTTTATATTAACCTCTTACCACATACATGATTTGCAAATATTTTCTCCCATTTGGAAAGTTGCCTTTTTATTGATGGTTTTCTTGGCAGAAGCTTTTGTTTTGCTATCACCCACTGGTTTACTTTTTGGTGTCAAAACCAAAAAAATCATTGCCAAGATGACTCTCAAGGAGTTTATCGCCTGTTGTTTTCTTCTAAGAGTTTTATAGTTTCAGGTCTTACATTCGATTCTTCAATCTGTTTTGAGTTAATTTTTGTGAATGGGGTAAGAAAGTGGTGCAGCCTCCTCCTCTTTGCATTTTGCTGTCCAGTTTTCCCAGCCATTTACTGAAGGGACTGTCCTTTCCCCATTGGATGTTCTTGGCTCTTTTTTCTAAAAATTAATTGACCCCGTATGTGTGGGTTTGTTTCTAGACTCTCTATTCTGTTCCATTGACCCTTGTGGCCATCTTTATTCCAAATACTCTTCTGTTCTGATTTTTTATAATATAGTATGAGATCAGGGAGCATGATGCCTCCAGCTTTATTCTTCTTTCTCAAGATTGCTTTGGCTCTTGGAGGTCTTTTGTGGTTCCATATAAATGTTAGAATTCTTTATTTCTCTGAGAAGTGCCGTTGGAATTTCTATAGGGATTGCATTAATTCTGTAAATTCATTTTGGGTATGGGCATTTTAAAATATTAATTGTACCTGTCCATGAATACGGAAATATCTTTCAATTTATGTGTCATCTCCAGCTTATTTCATCAATGTCCTTTGGTTTTCTGTGTAGTCTTTAATCTCCTAAGTTAAATTTATTTCTAGGTGTTTTATTCTTTTTGATATAATTATAAATGGAACTGTTTACTGAATTTTAAAATTTATTTTTCTGAGAGTTCCTTATAGTGTATAGAAACAAGAGACTTTTATATATTTGTATTCTACATTTTTCTGAATTCATTCATTCTATAGTCTTTTGGTGGAGTCTTTAGGGTTTTCTGTGTATAAGGTCATGTTACCAGGTAATAGTGACAGTTTTACTTCTTCCTTTACAATTTGAATGCGTTCTATTTCTTACAAAATTAGAAAGGACTTCCAGTGTAAGGCTAAAAGTGACAGAAGTGGCCATCCTTGTCCTGTTCCTGGTTGTAGGGGGAAGCTTTCAGCTCTTCATCGAGTATGATGCTAACTGTGGGCTTGTCATATACGGCCTTTATTACATTGAGGTGGGTTCACTTGTACCCACTTTCTTGAGAGCTTTTGTCCTAAATGTCTGTTGAATTTTGTGAAATGATATTTGTGCATCTGTTATGCTGATCAGATGATTTTTATTCTTCCTTTTGTAATGTATATCACATAGATGTTCAGATGTTGAATCGCCTTTAAATCCCTTGAATAAATCCCACTTAATCATAATGTATATTCTTCCAATGTTATGTTGATTTGGTTTGCTAATATTTGATTAAGGGTTTTGCATCATTCATTCATCAGGGATATGAACCTGTAAGGTTCTTCTCTCATGCTGTTCATGTCCAGTTTGATATGAAAGCCCTGCTGACCTCTAAAACTTAGTTTGGAAGCATTCCTATCTCTCTCCCTCCTTCCCTCGACGAGTTTGAGTTTGGAAGGGATTGGTTTTAATTCTTCTTTAAATGTTTTGTACAATTCACCAGGGAAGCCATCTGGTCCTAACTTTGGATTATTGGGAAGTTTTGGTTTCCTGAATCAATCCTCTTGCCAGTTGTAGGTCTATTCGGCTATTCTGTTTCTTCATGGTTGTCTTTGTAGGTTGTATGTTTCTAGGATTTATCCATTTCTCCTCGGTTGTACAATTAGTTGATACATAATTATTCACAATAGTCTCTTATGATCCTGTGAATTTCTGTGGTATCAGTTGTAATGTCTCCTCTTTTATTTCTAATTTTTATTGAATTTTCTCTCTCTCTCTCTCTCTCTCTCTCTCTCTCTTTTGGCGGACGGGTGGGGGCACCTGGGTGGCTCAGTCAGTTGAGCGTCTGACTCTTGATTTTGTCTTAGGTCAAGATCTCATGGTTTGTGAAATTGAGCCCTGCGTCAGCTTCTACATTGACAGCATGAAGCCTGTTTGGGATTCTCTTTCCTTCTGTCTTTCCCCCTTCCCTGCATGTGCATTTTCTCTCTCTCTTCCACTCTCAAAATTAATAAACTTTAAAATTTTTTAAATTCTCAGGGCACCTGGATGGCTCAGTTGGTTAGGCCTCCAACTTTGGCTCAGGGCATGATCTTGCAGTCCATGAGTTCGAGCCCCGCACTGGGCTCTGTGCTGACAGCTTGGAGTCTGGAACCTGCTTTGAGTGCTGTGTCTCCCTCTCTCTGCCCTTCCCTGCTCATATGGTCTCTCTCTCAAATATTAAAATTTTCTTAAATTTTGAATTTTTTTTCCTTATTGTAGGTAGAGGTTTGTCAGTTTTCTTCACAATTTGAAAAAAAAATCTTAGTTTCATTGACCTTTTCTATGTCTTTTTATTTTGCATTTCATTAATAACTTGTCTGAAATTTGAGATTTACTTTCTTCTAACTTTTGTTCTTTTAGTTTCTTAAGATGAGAAGTTTGAGATTTTTCTTGTTTCTTGTAGGCATTTATCGCTCTGAGCCTCTTAGAACTGTTGTTGCTACATCCCATACGTTTTGGTGTATTGTTTTTCCATTTTCATTTGTCTCAAGGTAAGTTTTTTAATTTCTCTTTTGTTTTCTTCTTAGATCCATTGATTGTGTGGTGACAGATTGTTTTAACTCTACATATTAATTTTCCAGCTTTCTTCTTAGAATTGATTTCTAGTTTCATACCAATGTGGTCATAAAACATACTTGATACAATTTCAGTCTTCTTAAACTTAACAAGCCTTGTGGCCTAACACGTGGTCTGTGCTGGAGAATGTTACATGTACATTTGAGTAGAATGTGTGTTGTATTGTTTTTGGAGGGAATGCTCTGTATGTATCTGTTAAGTCCCATCTGATTTCATGTGTCCTTTGAAGCTATTGTTTCTGTATTGATTTTCTGTCAGGATTATCCATTGATGAAACTGGGGTATCACATCCTCTAGTGTTATTGTGTTGCTACTTGTCCCTTTAAAGCTGTTAATATTTTCTTTATTTACACGCTACTATGTTGGGTGCATAAATATTTACAAATGTTACATCTTCTGGTTGGAGTGAGCCTTTTATCATTAAGTAATGACTTGCTGTGTCTGTTGTTATAGTCTTTGTCTTAAAGTGTATTTCATGACATATGTATAGCTATCCTAGCTTTCTTTTGGTTTCCATTTGCCTGAAATATTTTTTTCTGTCTCTTCATTTTCAGTCTGTGTGTCCTTGTGTCTGAAGTACATCTGTCATAGACATCACATACACCGGTCTTATTCTTTTATCCACGCAGCCACGCTGTGTGTCTTGATAGCAAAATTTTGTTAGTCCTTCCTCATTTAAAGTAATTATTGATAGATATGTACTTATTTTACATCTTTTAATCTTGTGTATCTGTTAAGAGATAATTGTAGTTATAGTTATTTTTGCTATTTTTGTCTTAAATCTTTATACTAACTTTATAAGTAAGAACCTACCACTTGTACAATATTAGAGTGTCTTGGATTTTACTACATATTTACCTTTACCAGTGAATCTTAGGTTTTCATGTTTTTCCTATTGCTAATTGGGACCCTTGCGTGTCAGCTTGAAAAAGTCCCTTGGGTACTTCTCATAAGGCTCATCTAGTGTGATGAGCTCCTGTAAGTCCTGCTTGCCTGTGAAGCTGCCCCCCCCCCCCCTTCTGTAGGACAGCTGTGCAAGGTATGGTAATCTCGATGGTTTTTTCTTCCAACCCTTTGAATACATCATGCCACTCCTTCTGGCCTGTGAAATTTCTACTGAAAAGTCTGTGGGAATATTACAGTGTTTTCTTGTATACACCAATTGTTTTCTCTTGCTGCTTTTAAAATTCTTGCCTTGTCCTTAAGTTTTGATTGTTGAATGATAATGTGTCTTGGTGTGGATCTCTTTGAGTTCATCTTATGGAACTCTCTGGGCTTCCTGGGTCTGGATGTCTGTTTCTATTCCCAGGGTAAGCAAGTTTTCAGCCATGAAAACCTTTCTCTCTTTTTCTTTTTAAAAGTAGACTCCATGCCTAGCACGGAGCCCAATGTGGGGCTTGAACTCATAACCCTGAGATCAAGACCTGAGCTGAGATCAAGTTGGACATTTAACCAACTGAGCTACCCAGGTACCCCCAGCTATTGTGTCTTCTCTGTTCTTCTGGGGCCCCTGTAGTGAGAATGTTGGTCCACTTCCCTTAAGCTCTTTTAATTCTTTTCTCTTTTTGCTTCTCTGATTGGGTGAGTTCCACTGCTCTGTCTTCAGAGTTCACTGAACCTTTCTTCTGCTTTCCTTTAGTCTGCTGTATTTTTCTGTCCAGTGATTGTGTTCTTTAGCTCTGAACTTCTAAGTACTTTGGTACATTTTCTGTCTTTTTATTGACATTCTTTCTTCACTTTCCCTCCAAGCTCAGGGAGCGTCTTTATGACCATTATTTTGAACTCTCCTATCAGTTAAGTTACTTATCTTTGTTTCACTAATATTTCCTTAAGTTTTATCTCGTTCTTTTGTTTCAAACATATTACTCTGCTTCTTCATTTTGCTTGACTCTCTGTGTGAGTTTTATGCATTAGAGGAAACAGCCACCTCTCCCAGGCTTAAAGGGTTGGTCCTGGGTAGGAGCTGCAGATTCTCTGTCAACCCTGCCCTCGGGTCTTGATCACTTCTCACATCTTTGTGATTGTGCAGGCAGCCTGCTTTCTTCTTAATGGCTCCTAGTAGTTGAATGTGTCAAAACCAGTCATTGTTCCAAAGGGGAGGATCTCAACCAGCACATTGATTCAGGCTGATGGGAGGCCAGCCCCTTGGGCAGCAGTTTATAGAGTAGGCAACTATATGGTCCTGTGAGCCCCCAGCTCGAGCCGTGCTGGCCACCAGAGCCGGGAGATCTAGGGGTGCCCCGGGGGTGGCAGCACACCAGAGGGGCGTACAGGCTCCTTTCCAGACCTGACGTGAGCAGGAGAGCACAGCGATGTCGCCTGCCAGCCTGTCTCTGGAGAGCGTATCAGTAGGCCCTGAGATGTCTATTAAATTATGTGCCTGCCCCCCAGGCCAGTGCCTCCTAAAAAGCACATCAGCCTCGTTCACAGAAAGTCTGGGTACTTTCCAGCCAGCCACGCCTGTGCTGGGCCCAGGGTGGGGAAGTCTTCACATTCAGGGCTTTGAGAGCCATTCTTCCATTTGCTACAGCCTCGATGTCACAGAGTTTCGATGTATCTAAGGGAGGCATTGTGTTCAGAGTCCTCCTGTGTAGCCATCTTGAGCTAGACCAGAGGCAGTTTTCATGAGGTTTTATTATGTGTTTTAGTATCAGGTAGGATGAGACGCTTCCCCTCATTACTATTCTTGCTCACAGATGTCTGCTTTTTCTTCCTTGTTGCTGCTGCTTAAATAGACTTTATAATTACCTGCCCTATTTTTTTTTTTTTTAATGTTTTATTTATTTCTAGGAGAGAGAGACAGCGCGAGCTGGGGAGGGTCAGAGAGAGAGGGAGTCACAGATTGAAACAGGCTCCAGGCTCTGAGCTGGCAGTCAGCACAGAGCCCGACGCGGGGCTCGAACCCACAAACTGCGAGATCATGACCCAAGCGAAAGTCGGACGCTCAACCGACTAAGCCACCCAGGCGCCCCAATTACCTGCCCTATTTTTAAGGAAAAAAATCTGTTTCTTTTTATTGGTGTCTTACTAGTTTATATTCTTAAAGAACTATCAGTTTTATTTCTTCTGACTTATTTACAAAGTGTTTTATAATATAGTCCTTAACAGATTTAAAAACTTTCTGTTTTAATTTGTAATTTTCTTCTCATTCTATAATTTAAGTGTTTATACTCTTAACTTTTCTGAAAGCTATCTTGTGGCTTAACTTGCTGATTGTTTTTTCCAGAGAACTAGCTTCAGATTTATTTTTTAGTGCTGTTGTTTTTTCTACTTACTGGTATTTGCTTTTATCTTTAGTAATTCTTATTATAGCTTTTTAAATTGTATGTTCAAATTATTTACCTTTTTCTTTTAATTTTTATTTATTTTTAAATTTACATCCAAGTTAGTTAGCATATAGTGCAACAATGATTTCAGGAGTAGATTCCTTAATGCCCCTCACCCATTTAGCCCCTCCCCGCTCCCACAGCCCCTCAAATAACCCTCTGTTCTCCATATTTAAGAATCTCTTATGTTTTCATCCCCCTCTCTGTTTTTATATTATTTTTGCTTCCCTTCCCTTGTTTATCTGTTTTACATCTTAAAAGTCCACATATGAGTGAAGACATGATACTGTCTTTCTCTGACTAATTTTACTTAGCATAATATGGTCTTGTTCCACCCATGTAGTTGCAAATGGCAAGATTTCATTCTTTTTGACTGCTGAGTAATACTCCATTGTGTATATATACCACATCTTGTTTATCCATTCACCTGTCGATGGACATTGGGGCTCTTTCCATACTTTGGCTATTGTTGATAGTGCTGCTATAAACATTGGGGTGCATGTGCCCCTTTGAAACAGCACACCTGTATCCCTTGGATAAATACCTAGTAGTGCAATTGCTGAGCCGTAGGGTAGTTCTCATTTTAACTTTTTGAGGAGACTCCATACTGTTTTCCAGAGTGCCTGCACCAGTTTGCATTCCCACCAGCCATGCAAAAGGGTCCTCTTTCTCTGCATCCTTGTCAACACCTCTTGTTGCCTGAGTTGTTAATGTTAGCCATTCTGACAGGTGTGAGGTGGTATCTCATTGTGGTTTTGATTTGTATTTCCCCGATGATGAGGTATGTTGAGCATCGTTTCGTGTGTGTTGGCCATCTGGATGTCTTCTTTGGAGAAATATCTATTCAAGTTTTAGTGCATTTCTTCACTGGGTTATTTGTTTTTTGGGTGTTGAGTTTGATAAGTTCTTTATAGATTTTGGATGCTAGCCCTTTATCTGATACGTCGTTTGCAAATATCTTCTCCCATTCCCTCCATTGCCTTTTAGTTTTGCTGATTGTTTCCTTAGCTGTGCAGAAGCTTTTTATTTTGATGAGGTAACAATAGTTCATTTTTGCTTTTGTTTCCCTTGGCTCCAAAGACGTGTTGAGTAAGAAGTTGCTGTGGCCGAGGTCAAAGAGGTTCTGGCCTGCTTTCTTCTCAAGGATTTTGATGGCTTCCTGCCTTACATTTAGGTCTTTCTTCTGTTTTGAGTTTATTTTTGTGTATCGTGTAAAAGTGGTCCAGGTTCATTTTTCTGCATGTTGCTGTCCAGTTTTCCCAGCACCATTTGCTGTAGAGGTTGTCTTTATTCCATTGAAAATTCTTTCCTGCTTTGTCAAAGATGAATTGGCCATACGTTTGTGGATCCATTTCTGAGTTCTTTGTTCTGTTTCATTGATCTGAGTGTCTCTTTGTGCCAGTACCATACTGTCTTGATGATTACAGCTTTGTAACATGTCTTGAAATCTGGGAATGTGATGCCTCCAGCTTTGGTTTTCTTTTTCAAGATTGCTCTGGCTTTTCTGGTTCCATACAAATTTTAGGATTGTTTGTTCTAGCTCTGTGAAGAATGCTGGTGTTATTTTGATAGGGATTGCATTGAATATG